GTGATAGCGAGTAAAGTCTTAGGCTTGTCTCCAGTGGCTGATACCACTCTTGAAACTCCATCAGGCAGGAAGACATCTCTTTACAGGACGCTGCTCAAGGGGGGAGACTTGGCTTTCTGTTTGAGGTGAGAGAAGACAGGGTATTTGTTTAACAGAAGAGTAGTTGGTAGGATGTGGTCATAAGGTGGCTTTGGAGCATTACACTAAGAACATTTCCGGCCTGTATTTCTGTACCATTGGCAGTACATTGTACTATGTGAGATACAGTTAAATGAGGGAGTTTTTTTTAATACTGTTACAATATGAATGTTAACCATCACAGACTTGAATTATAAGGTGACTGAGTGTTTTTTGGCCATACAAAACTTCTTGTCACCCTGGAATTATCGTAATGCAGGTGCTTCAGCAGTGTTTGAGGCAAGTTTTCGTTTCCAGAATCATCTTCCATCTGACTAATGAAAGAGTAGTAAGATCTTACCCATGTTCTGTGTGTTGATCTCAGATTTGTGTTTAGATTTGGCTGAAAATGAATCTTTGAGGTCAGGTCTGAACGCTTAAGGTTATACATTCATTGACTTCTGTAGGACTGATCAGATAGTTGCTGTTGTGCTTAGATAGTTTTTGGCTTAAACTCAGCTAAAGCATTACTGGCTAGGAAAATTATGTATTGCAAGGTAGAAGGGCAGCTCTGAGGGTGGGAAGGTAGCTCTGGGGTTTGTTGGTGATGTTGGAAACACTTTGAGCAAGCAAAACCCCAACACCAATACAGTGGATCAGCATATTTTAATGAAAGCCAGTATGGCATCAAGATGAAGTTCAAATGTAAACTTCCCGACTAAGCCTTGCGTTTGAAATTCAACCTGGAGCACATGCAACATGTGACTATGAAACTGATTGTACTGGATTGAACAAAAGGCCAGTGTGTTCTAGCAGCATGGCTCTGACAGTAAGCAGTGAGGAATGCTCAGGGAGACGTGCAAAACCAAGGCAAACATGATGTTAATGCTATTTGAGTACCTTACTGCACGCTGCTGTAAGCTGACAGCTTGAGCTGTTTGGTTTTCCTTTTGATCATGCCTTAAATTTATACAAGATACCTTCTCCCTTCTAGTGCTTCCCCTCCAATCTGATTGACTTGCTAATTTTTTTCCTTTTGAACTTTTAGTATGTTGTCTTTTAATCATTGTCTCACAGTCAGTAAAGACTTTATCCTTTCTGTTAAAAGGAAACTAAGCTGCAACCAACATCTTCATAGTTTTATAGTTCCCCTCTTAAATTTAACCTCAGTAATGGTGTACTTCTCCCTTTTACTGTTTCTGCGGAGATAGTGAGTTGGAATACCCTGTGATTCATGAGCAGGCATGGGTAGTGTCTTCTATTTAGTCTTCACAGAACACCCCCAGTTTAGAGTTTTCCAGTCTAAACTGGTTAAGCAGAGAATTCCTATAATCTCACTTCTAGAGGAGTTGTCATCTTACATCATCTGCAGTTCTGAATTTAGCAGCTTCCCTTTGCTGCTTCAGTCTGTTAACCCGTGCTGGGCCATTCTCATTTCCAGTGCCAGCAACAGACTTCCATCTTGACTGAGATGAAGTCTCTCTTGTTTATAGAGGGGTGCTGCATTCCAGAAACTTTCTCCTTTCTTCTTACAGTATTTGCTCAGTCATACATGGGATTCTTAGTCTTCAAAAGGTACCTCACTTGCATAAGCTTCACATCTACATGTTATTTAGCATAACAGCTGAACTCATACTTTTTTTTTTTTTTGCTTGTCGTGAGAAGATTTCTGGAGTAGGAATAATTTTCCAGTTTGGATAAAGAATAGAATGACTTGTTTTCAAAAAGCTGTAAGTACATCTGATATATAGATGTTACGGAAAACTATATACACTTGAATCTTTATCCTCAGAAAGATCTGAGGCCCTGGGGCTATCCTGATACTGTATTGCAATGAGTGAATGAAAAATTGGTTGGAAGAGAAGTCATACTCTCTCCCAACTCTTTATTTACCTTTTTCGTTTTATTATTGACAGAGAATGAAATATAATTTCCTGGTTTAATAGGATTGCTGGATTTCATAATGGAAAAGTGGAATCCTTGCCTGGAGTGTCTGAAGAAATTACTTTCAGGGAAGTGTTTTCAACAGTAACACAGACCAGTTCCACCATATTTGTATATCCCAATGGGAAATTGTCTGGGGTTTATGTGAGGGGACATGAGGGGACCAGAGCCAGACTGGCTGTGGCTGTGGCAATGTGATTTGTGTCAGTCCAGGCTGGAAACCAGAGCTAGTTTTGCGTTGCCTGTGGAGCCCTGGAGTCCTGGTCCACTCCTCGTCCAGAGCAGAGAGCTGCTGCACACTGCAGTTGTCTGGCCACCTCTCGGGTTTATTTCTGCAGAAGCAATGGCAAAGCTCTTTCTGAATGTGTTCTTCCAAGAGACGTGGTTGGGGTATGGCTGGATACATGTGCAGCAGGATTTTCATGGTGCTCTTGAGTCTTTAAGTTCAGATGCAACCTACAGCACCGCTCCTTGGATCAGTGGCAGCAGGGTTGGGATCCTGTCACTTTTGGGGACTAGATCTCTGTAATAGCCTGCAGTTACCTTTCCAGCTGCTGATAAAATCAGGAGGAGCCTTTGAGCTGATTCCTCAGAACAGGATTGTATCAAAGGCTGTGTGTTCATTATGTGGTGGAGAACTGTGCCAGTGGTAGAACCACGTGCATCATCCCTGCATGCAGTTATCCTGCTCTGCCCGGTGTTAGACTAAGAGAGCCTTTGTTTAACCTAAGAAGGGGATTGCAGGAAATTGTTCCATGTGAAAGCTGCAATTTTTCTGTAACGTTTTCGAATTTGCTATGGTGGAAAAGGGAAAACAAACCTTGCCCATCGTGAGAACTTCCTCAGTGTCTGCTAAGCTCTTTAATAAGCTTTTTGCATTTCGTTGGGATGTTCAGTGTCAGGGAGCTTTAGTCCATTTTTCATCTAGGTCACTAAGAATGCAGTCCTGCAGCCTAGGTCTTTCCTTTTCTGCCTCTTGTAGCTAGAGTTTGCACAATTCAGTATCAGCAGTGGATGCCCTGATCTAAAGGAAAGTTCTGGGATAATCTAGCTTAAAAAGTGACACTTGTAGCTAGTTTGCCAGTTCCACTTCATGCACTGAGCTCTCTTTGAGCCTGGTGGTGACTTTGAGCCACTTTCTAGACTGTTGTTTCAGTCTAGTGTACCACAGAATCCCAGACTGGTTTGTGTTGGAAGGGACCTTAAAGCTCCTCCAGCTCCAACCCCTTCCACTAGAGCAGCTTGCTCCAAGCCCCTGTGTCCAACCTGCCCTTGAACACTGCCAGGGATGGGGCAGCCACAGCTTCTCTGGGCACCCTGTGCCAGCGCCTCAGCACCCTCACAGGGAAGAGCTTCTGCCTAAGAGCTCATCTCAGTCTCCCCTCTGGCAGGTTAAAGCCATTCCCCTTGGCCTGTCCCTCCATCCCTTGTCCCAAGCCCCTCTCCAGGTTTCCTGCAGCCCCTTCAGGCACTGGAGCTGCTCTCAGGTCTCCCCTTCAGGAGCCTTCTCTTCTCCAGGCTGACCCAGCCCAGCTCTCTCAGCCTGGCTCCATGGCAGAGCTGCTCCAGCCCTTGCAGCAGCTCCGTGGCCTCCTCTGGCCTCACTCCAGCAGCTCCATGTCCCTCTTGTGCTGCTGCCCCAGAGCTGGATCAGGGCTGCGGGGGGTTCTCCCCAGAGCACAGCAGAGGGGCAGAATCCCCTCCCTGAGCTGCTGCTCATGCTCTGGGGGTGCAGTCCCGCGCATGGGGGGGGTTCTTGCCTCAAGTGCACACTGACTGGTCATGATGAACAGTGCAGAATAAATGATACAGTTGTTCCAATGATAATATGATAGGAGTTAAGCAGACATGCACATGTTAAAAACTGAGACGTACAGCCTGAAATAGCAGTACGTCTGTCTTGCTTCTCTTTTAAAAGAGTTTGTTCAGCGTTCTGTGAAACCACATCCTTTTGAGACATCTTGGGCTGGGAATGAGAGTTGCTTTCAAAAAAGTGGAGTACATCTCGAGTAGGTATCTCCTTCTTCCAAGACAGTTTCATGGACTTGTTATAGCCCAGGTTTTGGTAGTTAACTGAGAATTGCCAGGGTTCTTGGGTTATATCCTACTTGAATTTTCTGGATGTTTTAGAGATTTCATGTAGGCAGAAACGCTGTGGGTTTGTGGCATGCTGGCTGTCAGATCTTCTGCATGCATGTTTGCAGAAGGCAGTCGTGCATTGTCAAACTAGCTCTAGTTCAAGTGTTATGTTTTCATTGTCAGTAATGCCTCTTCTTTCCCCTTTTAGGCCAGGCTAAACTGCATCTTTATTTTTATAGGTAACTGCACTCAGCACTGGGATTTGTGACTTTATTCTCCTTTTAGCCCACTTACAAATGTGTAACTAGAGAATGTCTCATTGCTGTGCTTGCAATAAAGATCTGCAGTTCTTAAGCAAATAAATACATAAGGGTGTTTTGCAAACTTGGCTTTAGCCTTGCAGATATTTTATCCAATGAGATTAGATTGTAATGTAGCTGCCAAACAGGAAAAATCAAGTTTCCTGGCTTGTACCTGAATTTACTCTTGTGCCCAGGATTGTAGGGGGAAATTGCTGAAGAGTTGCACAGAACAAAGACCACTAGAGGAGGGACTGTCATCACTGGTACTCAGTTGGGTTTTAAATGTTCTTAATGATGTAGGGGGTAACACGTTTTTGACTGCCTGTCATTTTCCCTGTTTTCTGTTCTAATTGCATATCAAACAATAGTCTTGAGTATTTTAGGGCCTTTCTTGTGTATTAATCATATGCAGTAGCATCTGGTCAAACTGAATTATTTTACACTTCTTGCAACACCTTAATTTTTAGGAGCATGACAAGAATAGTGGAGGGTACTTTTATCTCCTCTTCCTGCAGGGACATTTTTGACTGAAACAGGATTGTTTTCTTTTGCTTCTAGATCTTTCAAAGAACAGATTCACTGAAATCCCTCCTGATGTCTGGCTGTTTGCACCACTGGAAACTTTAAATTTGTATCACAACTGCATCAAATCCATTCCAGAATCTATTAAAAACCTGCAAATGCTTACCTACCTTAACATTAGGTGAGTAATGCTGTTTAGTTTTGGGCTTTGTGTAACTTATCTCATTGGAGAGGTGGCATTCAACATTGAGGGTCCTTGTGCTCTCAGTTTTGCTCAGATAGATAAATATTTGCTGCTGTTTGCCTTGGTTTTGGTGGGTTTTGGGTCAGCAGTTGTTGCTTCCTTTGACTGCATTGGGAAATCTCAGTCAGTAAATGATGGTAGCTGAGGATGAGGAGAATTTATGCAGTTTTCTTTGATCTTAACGTTCTGCAGACAGTGTTTAGGAAGCAGCTGTCGTAATGTGCTGTTCTCAGGAGGGTGGATGTCTCTGGCCAGAAGGCCCTCCTCACTTTGCACATTATTTACTTCCGTTGCTGTTCTTAAACTTGGAAAACATATCATTGGATCTTCTCAAAAGAGCAGAAGATGAATATGAGCTGAAAGAACCCTCCCAAAATGAGCAGAGACCCTGCTGTCTGCGGTAGTCCATTTCTTGTATTGACTGTATCAGGTCCTAGACAGTCCTTTCAGGTGAGGGTTATTGAACATGGGAGGTTTGGTTCCAGAATTGATTTTGAAAAAAACCCTGAAAGCTTGTGAATTTATTCTGGAAAAGAAAAAGGTAAAAAGGCAAAACCAGACACAAATCCTGGAATCCTGGGTTGGGAGCGACCTCAGGGATCATCTGGGCAAGCTTTCTTGGCAAAGCATGACCCTGATTAGATGGCCCAACACCCTGTGCAGCCAAATCTTGACAGTGGGCTTAAAGACCAACTGTGTCTTGAAATCTGCAAGTATTAGTACTTAGTGATCGAAGAGTCACAGTCTGTTCTGTGATGGTTCTAAAGAGAATAATACGAGAAAACTAAAACCTTTTCTGAAAGGAACTGGACGTCACTTTCTTCCCAGAGCAGCAACAGTCCATTTCTCTTTAGATGGTGCTGAATACGGTTCTTCTTACAGAAATACAGCAGCAAGCAGTTCTGACTGGGTGTTACGTGGTTCAGGAGTTAACTCTTCCAATCATCATCTGCCACACTGTGCTTTGTCTCCAGTTTTGTGCTGATGTCTCAGGCCTCTTTTCACAGTGCATGGATGTATGGACTGGAGGAGTTGAAGAACAGGCTAAAATACTGGCTTATGAGTTGAAATACATTGTTCCAGAAGAAAACCATATGATCTCAAATTCTAATTTTGGATTCACATGACTGTAGAAGTGTATTGTGCAATTCGTAGTCAAGCAGGCAGCTCTTTAAAAACCAACCCCCTGAACCAGCAGAGGCCCAGAGGAAACTGAACTGTTGCAGAGAACGACGGTTCCGTTGCCTTCATTGTATAATCAATCACAAAAAAGTTTACTTCGTGGTTTTGCTTCTCATGCTGTCTAACCAAAAGAGCCTGTCATATCTACCTGAAATACAACGTACAAAGAGACTTACCACATACCTACACCCAGAACTTGTTTGCGTTGTTCACTTAGAAAGAACAGAATAAATACAGAGCTCTGCCCAGATTCCAATTACTTTCTTTTGATGCTGTTAAACTTGCAGCCCTTCTTTGAAGCTGAAGCATCAAGACATGAATTTATTTTTGTTGGCTTTGCAGCTCTCCAAGCTGTAGTCATGGAGAAGAATAATGTAAAAAGCTTTTGCATACAAAAACAGTGCTCTGAAAAATATAAACCAGTGAATCTTTGGGGGGTTTCTTAATATAGTGTCAACACAGATGTCAGCACTTAGATGGGGGGTTTTATGGCTTTTTTCTCTTCAAACTAGAACTGACTCTCCACAGTTCTACTTAAAGCAACAGCATTTACTGATTTATATATTTACTTTTATGTCTGAAAGGAATTGCTTTCATACCTCACCTGAACAAGCTGGTTTTCCAGTGGCTTTTTTAAGTGTCCCAGTAGCTCTGTAGAAGAATTGGCTATGTTTCTGGCAGTGGCAGTCTGCAGTTGGTAGTTTTTCCAGTATGGATGTAAATCAAAGTGTCAGTAACTGTTTATTTCTTGTGTGCAAAGCAGACGTATGTGCGTGCAGGTGGAAAATGACGCATATTTTATTTTTATTGGAATTTACCTTTCAGACTGTTGCTCAAGCAAAGTAGTAACTAGATGTTGAGGGCTTTTTGTGGTGGCTCAGGAGTGATGTGACCACATGACATGAGGAGTAGTGGCCTTGTCTCGAGTTCTGGTTTGCTGAGAGCATGACTTTATATTGGTAGAGTGTTGGATCAGGTGCTCCTGCTGAAGGTATGGGAAAGCAGCATAACAGCAGACATCAAACATAATTCCTTGTAACACATTTCTCTGTACACTTTAGTGTTGAATTGAGTTCTAGTACGTACTCAGCAAATGAGGACCTAAAATTCACATATCTGAGAGAATTTTTATCTGGTAAGGAATTCATGATGGAGATTGTAGCTTAAAGTTAGATGAAGTGGGAATAAGGGGAGATTATCTTCTGGACTAGGAGGAAAGTTGTACAATGGGCATTTCAGACTCCGTGTCATGCATACAGAGATTCTAACCTAGCCTTGTGTCTGAATTTTTCTTACTTTCAAGTCGAAATCTTTTATCAACGTTGCCAAAATACCTGTTTGATCTTCCCCTGAAAGTTCTGGTTGTCAGTAACAATAAGCTGGTCTCCATTCCAGAAGAAATTGGGAAGTTGAGAGATCTCATGGAGTTGGTAAGTGCAATTGTGAACCATTCTATTGAGTAACCTGAAATGAGAAGCTGTTTGTTCACCTTGTAATAAAAGAGAAATGAATAATCCTGTAAATGTAGAACTTCAAAATTTAAATTCAGTCCCTGCTTTTTCTTAGTGTTGGAGCTGCAGTTCCAGGTGTACTCTGCTGGACGGTTTCACAAATGGGGTTAAGCACAAACCAGTATGTTGGGTTAACTAAAGCTTAAGGGGTTCATAAATGAAAGAATCTGAAGCACAGTTTTACTGGAGTCCCTCACTTGTGTGTTAAAAAGGGTGAATTTTCCTATTTACCTTCTTCACAGTAATCATCATTCTCTTCATTTTTGGTATGTGTCCCATTCCCCCCTTCTGCTGTTCCTTTATGTTGGTTGGGGTGACTAGAAGGATGTGTGATATTCACAGTTTAGGTGTCTGTACAAACTGATTTTATCCTATGGCGTACTAAATTTGTGCTTTAGCCTCCATAACTTTCTCTTTGTCTCTTCCTATTCTGGGCTTTTCTGATCATTACTCTGTGTTAAGCTCATGTTTTGGAGAACTCTGCACAATTATTCACCAACCTGGTGCTTGCACTGTGCCTGATTTCTTATTTATGTGTATTTCTTTGGCCATTGCAAGCAGTGTGCATCCTGTTTCCAGGGTAACTGTGTATACCCTGGAGATTTCATTTAACATGACCTAATTTACAAGTAGTATGAGATTATTGTAGAATCCCAGAGTGGTTTGGGTTGGAAGGGACCTTAAAGCTCCTCCAGTTCCAATCCCTGCCACAGGCAGGGACCCCTTCCACTGGAGCAGCTTGCTCCAAGCCCCTGTGTCCAACCTGGCCTTGAACACTGCCAGGGATGGGGCAGCCACAGCTTCTCTGGGCACCCTGTGCCAGCGCCTCAGCACCTTCTTTATACTCTCTCCACTGTCAGAGGATTTTAATGTACCACTGCTAGTTTTAAAGGAAGTGTGTGTTTTAGGGAGGGAATCCCATCTGAACCTTGACGTGGACAGAGAAGCAGTTGATCTCCAGCAGCTTGGACTTTGGGACATTCACCTATGTGTAGATATCGTGGTTGCCAAAAGCAGATGAGCCTAAGCAGAAGCTCTAGGAGCATGTAGTGGAGGAGGAGGCTGGATGTGGTTGGTTAAGGCCTGGTTTCTATGTACTGACTCAGCTCGCCTTAAAATTATCTCTGTCATTGTTATCTCATCTAGGAAACTAGTCTCTGAAGCAAATTTCATTGAATTGAAAATAAAAAGAGGTTAGAAATGGTCTTCCATCACTGTGATTCTCGACTCAGTCTGGACTACATAGATGTTAAATTAGGCTCAGAAATAGCTGTAGTCTGTGTTCATTTGGTGCAGCTCTGTCACCATCTAGTGCTTGTCAGATAGCTGGTGAGCCTGCTGTTGCTCTTTGTCAGTCTTTAGTTGCATGGGTTGGTTCAAGGTGTTTTTAGGAAAAAGAATCTTCCCAGGAAGAGCAGAATGCAAACCATCTGCCAGCCATGGCACAGGGAGCTGTTAACTGGCGTGGGAGCTACACCAGCAACTCCAGAATCCTGGGCTTCAATCTGAAAACCCATCTTTCATCACTCATTGGTTTAATTGTTTGAATTGAGTTCTTGACGCTTGAGTGAGCAAGAATGAGCAAGATGTGTTGTGGTACTACTAACCTTTGTGGAACAAAGATAAAAGACTTGGGGGTTTTATAGTATGCTTTATAGTAGTTTTGATAACAGTTTTCCTTTTGTTTCATTTCATTTAAGATGTTCAGTTAATTTATTACTATATTTCTCAGGATATTAGCTGCAATGAGCTGCAGGTTCTTCCCCAGCAGATAGGAAAACTGCAGTCACTTAGAGAATTAAACATAAGAAGAAATAATCTCCATATGTTGCCAGATGGTAAGCTGCTCCTCTTCATTTCTTTGATGTAGGTAAATTAGTGTTAAGAAGATCTCTGATTCTGTTTCTGTTTGTCTCCCCCAATGCAGAATTAGGAGACCTTCCCTTGGTAAAGCTGGATTTTTCCTGTAATAAAATTACAGAAATCCCAATTTGTTACAGAAAGTTACGGCACTTACAAGTTATAGTTTTGGATAACAATCCAATGCAGATACCACCAGCACAGGTTAGTATTAAAGCATTTGAGCTCAGAAATTTGCAGTAGAGCTTAAGAAAGAAGCAGCTGTTCTAAGTTAGAGCAATCAGGTTTTCATTTTTTAGCTTTATGTCTCCCAGTGGGAAGTTGTGGGTACAAACTCAGTGTAGGAAGTATTCGCTGGGGTGCAGTTTCAAGAGATGTGCTGTATAATTAACATCTCTTTTGTTCATTTGTTTCCCAACAGATCTGTTTAAAGGGTAAAGTACATATATTTAAATTCCTCAGCATTCAGGCGTGCCTCAGAATAGATAAAAAACCAGATTCTTTGGATCTTCCATCGTTAGGTAAACGAATCCCCTCCCAGCCACTGACAGACAGGTGAGTGGTGCTGTGTTTGTTTTATTTCACTGCAGCATTTGCTATGAAGTGATCTGTTTATTACAGATAATAGCTGTAATTTCGGTACTTCAACTCTTCTTTATTTAGGAGTCATAGTATTTATCTTTCAAGGTTGTGTTACTGGAAGCTTTATTGGCTCATCCAATAGCACTGAGAAATTGCTAAAATACTTGCTTATGACTTGCAAATCAGAACAAAGATGTATTTTCCATTTATTGATTGGAAATCTCAGCTATTTATTTCCCAAACAGATTATAGCAAAGCCAGATGAAAAGTTCCCATAAATGTTCTGAATATAGAGTTAGTGTGGTGGATAGAAAATCTGCCTCCCACATATATATAAATACATTAAGGGAAACAGGCTTAAACATCAGTGAAATACAGTGGCTTTTTTTATTGGATTGGATGAGGTCAAAAAGTGCAGAATATTTCATTTGCCTTCTGTATTGAGCACATCTTGGGTAATGCAGTGGGTGTGCCTTTGTGTTCTCTGTCAGTTTGGTTAGCTGTTGGAAACCATGGGGAGCAGCACTTTCCTTGCAAACTGCATTTTAAGAAAATGGGCAACTTGTGCCTCTCTGTGTTCAAAGCTGAGGGGAAGAGGGAAGTTGTGAAGGAAGCCTACACAGAATCATCTGAACCATCAGAGTTAGTCCATGGTCGTGATCTCAGGCAGCTGTGCAACAGGGAATCAGTCCACAGTGTCTGTATATGGCTTCTGAATCGTAGCATCCCAGCCTGGTTTGTGTTGGAAGGGACCTTAAAGCTCCTCCAGCTCCAGCCCCTGCCACGAGCAGGGACACCTTCCACTAGAGCAGCTTGCTCCAAGCCCCTGTGTCCAGCCTGGCCTTGAACACTGCCAGGGATGGGGCAGCCACAGCTTCTCTGGGCACCCTGTGCCAGCGCCTCAGCACCCTCACAGGGAAGAGCTTCTGCCCAAGAGCTCATCTCAGTCTACCTTCTGGCAGGTGGAAGCCATTCCCCCTTATTCTCTGCTCGTGGAGCATTGAGCAAAAATTGTATTGGCTGCTGTTGATGAGTATAGAGAATGTGTTTATTAAAGCATGTTCTTTTGAAACTAGTTTCTGTCATTCTTTGTGTGTTTATGTGTGGTTTTTTTTCTTAATGTAGCATGGAGGACTTTTATCCCAATAAAAATCATGGACCAGACTCTGGCATCGGAAGCGATAATGGGGATAAAAGGTTGTCCACAACAGAAGTGAGTGGTTCTTAGTCTTGAATTTGTGAAATTTTGGTTGGTTTGTTTCCTCTCTTTCTCCCTCCTTAGTGTAACAAGGGTCAAAGTAGTTGGAGGCTGTAAGTAAGACAGTACCCAAGGACTTTCCTTAGCCCACTGACCAGGGTGGGTTGGACCTCATTGTTCAAAGTACTGTGTTTCAGTATTAGATTATGTACTGAGTAGTTGCGTGTTATTGCCCAAACTATGATTCATTTAAAGCTCCTTCCCACCTCTTCCCAAAAAACCACCCCCAGAGACATCTCACCTGACATGTTCGTCCTGGGAGCTCTGACTCCTGATAGGGTCAGTTGCACTAGAATTGATGAGTTCTTCAGCAAATCATGTAATGGTTTACTAAGTTCTGTATTAAATGTGACTGTCTTTGCAGCCTTCGGATGATGATACAATCAGCCTCCACTCCCAGGTATCGGAATCAACGAGGGAACAGACATTAAGGAATGACAATCATGCAATAGGAAGTAAACTCGATCCGCAGAAAGGTAATACCTGTTGTGCATGTGTCAGTTTAGGTCACAGAAATACTTCTGGTTTGATAATGCAATACAAGAACATTGCATAAAAGGGTAGGATCATGTGTTAGTGCTGTGTTTTCATCCTTACAGAAAGCAATGTAATAATCACACATAGACAAGGCCAGAAAGAAAATAACATGATTTTTAGCTTTAGGAGAAAGGATTTCATTGTTTTATCTGACCTTCTTCATAAGTCATTATCTCTCTGAGGAATCAAACTTGGTTGAGAGAGCTGTTTAATATTATCTTTTCCATTCTTCATCAATCTTCACTAGACCAGGAGGTGTACGACTACATTGATCCCAACACCGAAGAGGGAGCTGTTCCTGAGCAAGGAGATGTACACACTGGACCACTGCTGTCTTATATTAAGGTAGCATAGTGTGACAAGAAACACTGCTCAGCATCCTTGCTTTTCTTTTCATTCAAGTCTGACTTTATTCTTCATTCTGTGCAAGGAACGGGGAAAACAGCCTGAGAAATCCCAGAAAATAGAACAGAATGAGGACTGGGGTGATGAGAAAAGGTAAACCTTCTTTATAATCTTCTTTAGGAAGCTTTTACTGACCGTGGGAGGTGAGGGTGGTTTTGGTTTCTGGTTGGGCCAAGAGTATCCTGGGGTGCACTGGGAGGCGTGTGGCAGGAGGTTGGTCCTGATGATCTCCAGAGGTCCCTTCCAACCTAATGATTCTGTTTTAAGCTCATTGCATATGAAGGAAAGGAACCTCATAGGGAACACAGAGTGCTCCTTGGACAGAAAATAAGCATGCTGTTGGTGGTTCTCAGTTGTCCAATAATGCAGCCATTTCTGTGTCTGGCTTCACTGAAGTCAGGCAAGTCACTGACATTTAATGTTTCAGACTGCAGAAAGAACAGCTGCTGGCTGAAGATGATGATGAACTCAAAGAAGTGACTGACTTGAGAAAAATAGCAGCTCAGTTACTGCAGCAAGAACAAAAACACAGGTATTGCAGTATTAGGATAACTTGGGTTACAATGAATTTATTCTTTAACGTGCCTTATGCCCAAAAGCTCCCGACACCTCATCATTTTGAGAACATTTTTGTCCAGCTGTTACAGTGACAGATGCTTTCAAGATACCTGTCCTGTGTTTCTTGTTCTAAACCTGTTGTCTAGGGAAGCAGGGATATACCTTCAATGGAGAAGGAAGAGATGAATGTGAAAGTCTCACATTCATGTTGCTGTAGAACAGATGAAAGAAATGAAGAAGTTAACTGTGTAAAATGGAGAGAAGAAATCCCTGGAGTTGTGGGATGTGGACAGGCCAGGGAGGAGGTTCTGCACTGCTGGTTTTCTTGTGAGGTAGTTGAAACGCACATGAAGCCCTTAGAGAAGTTTGTATCCTTCTAGTGTGAATTGCACAGCTTTAAAAATTACTTAAGTCAATAGCAGCAGGGGGATAGACAGGTTTTAGATAGATTTTACTTGTAACTGCATGCAGTGTATTTAAAAATTGCTTGTTCACACTGGGAAGGGAAAAATAACAATGAAATCTTGATACGTTCTTATTACCAAAGAGTATTGCAACGAAGACAAAGAATGCCAGTTTTTCTCATATTAATTTATTAATTGAAATAGAATAAGTGTGTTTTCTTCTGTTAGATTTTATGATGGTTATTTATATTGCACGTGTTTTATTAGTTATAGTATTTCCTGGTTATCTGCTAACTTGAAATAGCAAGCCACTCCTCTTCTGAAGTACTGTAATTTAACTTCTAGTCGCCATAGTTGTATCTTAATGCAGTGATCTTGCTAATAGTTCTGCTTTGCTCTTGAATTATTCAGACATGCAGTCGTAGTTAAGTTTTACTTCTCAGTTTAGCATTTATTGGAGTTTGCTTGTGTATCTTTAAGTACAATAGGGCAAAATGACCTCTGCTACAAAATCTATCCCTGATTCTGCATCCCTGCCTTTGTGAATTTGTAACTTCTTGCCATAAACATCAGTAAGAATAATACTTTGAATTTTAGTGAAGCTGCTTCAGTGTGTGTGAAAAATGTGTTCAGTCTGAGTGAACAGAAGTGAGTGTTGTGACATAACTTCTTACTAATCCTGTTTCTGTTCAGTGTGGTTTGGTTTGCTTTTAATATTATGCAGTCTCTTTCCTTTTGCTTGCTCTGCTAATGACTTCCCTGTCCTCTCCCGTCAACCTGTCCTGCTTCCTTCTTCCGTCTGTGGCTTTGGTGTACATGAACTGTGAATACAGACGAAGGCCATTAAGCTATAGAACTTCATTCAGTGAAAAGCTCTTCCAGAGGACAAGGGCGGCAGGACGTGCATCAAGGTATAAAGTGTTTGTAGAGCTTCAGATTGCCACAGTTAAAATGGCCACAAAAGGAGCAGTTTTGGCCGTTTTCTTGAACAAAACCAGAATAAAGGGGTTGGCTAAGTTAGCCTGAGCTATTTTGCCATCAAAAATGGATGGCAATGCGTTTATTGTTCTTTGAGCTGAAATACTATTTAAGGATAATATTTAATTAGGCAGCTCTCCAAAGAGCATTTAAGTGAGTCCAAACCTAAAAGCAAAATTTCCTGTACCTTTGGCATGCTTCCTCTTCAGTTATTTTGGTTCTTTAATATACAGTACCTCAAATGTGGAACTCCAGGCAAAAGTGCTTGGGGTTATATATGTATTATTCATTATTTTGATTGAATAGATTTTGGTTTAAAAGTGCCAATATACTTTGATCACAGTTCTGCACATGAAGTCAGTGTCAGTGTGTAATATTGCCTCCAAGAATGCAGAATTACGTATTCTAGTTTCTGTCCAACATGACACTTCCTTGAAAACACTTAATTGTAAGTGGTACTGAGTGGTTTTGTTACCTTTAACACTTCAAACATCCATAATAGTAACTCATAATCTTCTTCCTGTTTGTTCTTCAGTTGTTCTGAATCTGTATGTAAGTTTAGGCTTCACTGTTTACCATTTAGAAATATGGAATTTCCATTGGTTCATTTCTGTATTAGACTTTTCACTTAGTGCTTCACATGTGTTTTTTCCATTTTCCATTTTGCCCTGCATTTCCTTTGCACTTTCAGTGTTTCTTATTCTGCTACTTTCTTACCTGCTCCTGTTGACTGACTTCTTGTGCTCAATCTGTGTATGGTTTCTTGTCTGCTTTAGGTTGATCTTCTGTCATCTGACCTTGGTGAACAGTGGGTCCTTTTGTCTTGAGGGCAGTGTAACTTTACAGAGGTGTGAGATCACCTCAAATAGTATATAGTTAAAGAGGAGACTTCATTTTGGTTTGAAATACTAAGTTTTACTTAAAATTCAGGACTTGAAATATTTCAAGAAATGGAAACAGTATTGTTTATTTCAGTGGACGCAGGATTGGGCTTGGATTTCATGTGTCCACACAGTTTAATCTGATGGAAAATATCTCCTTTATATTCAAAACTGTTTTTCACAGGAAGTGTTACGCAGTGAAAGTAAACCCTTTTTTCTTAGAATACATGTAAATTACAAAGCTGTTGGAAAAATGTGTGTCTCTTCTTCTTTCCAGGCTTCTTAATCATTCAGTTTCAGTAAGCACAAGGAACAGGCCAAAGCAGCCAGTGGAATCTGAGAAATGGTATTGATATACTTTAATGTGTCACAGCTTTCAGGAGTTGATCAGTTTCTGTATGTACTCTGTGTCGCTGCTGCCATCTTCTGTCGTAGCTCGAGATGAAACAGAAGCTGCCCAACTAATCTGGTTTGGAGCTTCTTTCATCCAGATCAGACAAAATAGTAACCAAATCCTGTTCTTTGGAGCCTTTAGGCAGTGATGTAATCTATAAACTAATTATGGCTCTGATTGTGACAGCGGTTCAGGCAACTGAAACATCACTGAACGAATCTTTAGACATGCAGTTCCATTGCAGACGGTCATAGCTCCCCTAGGCAGCAGTCCCATGCAGGTGGGTTAGTTCCTGTGTTACACAAAGTGGTGCTGTAGCTGGCCTTAGGCATCTGCATTTTCCTCCCTGGCAGTCATTTTGTGCTCCTAAGAGCTGTTGGAAAAGTTGCTGGGAGTTCAAAGCCTTCACTGGCCATCAGTGAGGAATCCATGCTCTGCAGGAGATGTGCTTCTGTGCTCTTTCTTTGAATTAATAAAACACCACCAGTACAAAGCAGCCACAAACAGAAATACCCAGGGCCTTGTGTTCAGGAACTTGGGAATTCACTGCTTCCTGTTTCTGACTACATGGGTGAGAGAACTTAGCAAGTTTTCAGCCCTCCCTCCCTCCCTTAAGGAATCCTAGATGAGTTCTTTTAGTCAGTTTGGTCTAGAATTAATCTATTTTATTTGTTAAGCAAAAGAGGGACCATTTGCTGGCAGCCTTCTGTGAGAGCTCCATTTGAACTATGGCTTTTGTGATCTTTTTGCTAGCCCCAGACTTCTAAAATGGATACCTTCAGCAGAATCTCTTATCTGCTTGTGTCCAGACCCATCTCTGGCTGTGAATCTTGGAGACAAAGGCCGTAATGTAGCTAGAGAGCACTGCGGTTGCTAACAGCTCTCTACAGTACAGGTTCACATGAGAAAAGCTTTTACTGGAAGAGAAAAGGACACTGCAGATAGTTCTGTGTGATACATCCTATTTTGGCTACCGTCTCTCGTCTGTGTCTGTGGTTTTAGAGATCCAGCTGCATACATGGCTGGTGGTTAGATGAACCATGCTGCAACTATTATTCCTTTGCATGAAACAAAAAAAACCCCACCCCCAACCATCTCCCCATCCCCTTAATTCTGAGGGGTACACACAGGATATGTTGTTCCAGGTTCTTTGTTGGTTTATTGTACCGATACATAGGAACCCAAATCACATACTGTGTGATGGACATACAAAGAGAGTAGAAAGATTGTCCTATCCCTAAAGAATTTACATGTGCAGAACATGTCATAGTTAATAGATGTATATGTGCTTAAGTATTTTCTGCAGCAGTTCCTGCAGTTCTCAACTGCTTTGCTTACCAAGCTGTTGGATATGATTCAATTTTCTTGTGCCTAACAGCTTTAAATGTAGTGTTATTGGTTTGAGGCAAACAAAGAAAAAGAAGGGAAAGGAATCCAGAGCAGAAGTGGCTGGATGCTTTCCCTTCAGGATTTATTCTGATTGCTCATGGTGCTCATTGCTTGAATGCTCATTGCATTCAATCCCCAGCTGTTAGCTGCCTCATCTACTGCACAGCTTCCAAGCCAGCAGTCAGAACGTGAACGAAATGGTGCTGGAAAGGGGATAGAAGTGAATTCCACACACAAATTCAGGAAGGAAAAATTTAAGTGATGGTAAATCTAAACATTTTTATTTTCCCAAGAACTTCTCGTCATAGAATGGTTAAGGTTCTCTGCAGTTTGTGTTCCAGCTTCACTGTCCCATCTTAAAACAGTTTTCCTTTCCCTATTAGTATAAGCTTCTACTTTACCCTGTAGAGCCAACAGTGTAAAGAAGGAGGTGAGTCTCCCAGATGTTTAATAACAGATGTCTTGTCAGCTTTGATCACAATGTTTCCTTGGTTGCTTTGAGAAGCAGAGCAATGAAGATGTATTAGTAATCTCTAAAGGTCAACATGCTGAAGTAAAAGCTTTATCTGAATCAAGAACTGTAGTGTGGAGCTGTTGTCAGCATGTGGTAAGAGAGAGTGAAATAGGATTTGAGATTTTAGTCAAATGGTCGTACATTTTAGCCACATGGTGACATCCTTTATACAGGCAGCCAAAACCCACTGTAGTGCTGCAGAGAAGCTGCTTTTTAAGTGTGATATTTTAAAGTAACCTGGTCTTAAAATAGACGAGGAGTAAATTTCATAATGTCTCATCTTCATTTTTAGTGTCACAACAGATGAAGTGAATTCCCCAGTGTCCCCATACAGCTGGCAGGTAAATACGCAAATGTGAATGTGGTGGCATTGTATTTGAATGATTGTTATTGCTTTTTGGGGTTGTATTACTGTCAGAAAACATTTATACACACAGAGTTATTGTATGTAGGGAATTGTGGTGGAAAATAGAAAACCTTTGAAGAACGTTATGCTTGAAATAATTTGGCTTGTATTTAGCGGAGGCTTTTTGTTCTAAGGGTATATGGTACTTGCCTTTTAATCTCTGAAGTATTTACAATTGCTTTCAAAAGCCTCATACTCTAATAGGAAGGAATAGTTGGAAATGAAGTTTTAGCCTAACGGTCCCTTCAGATTGTCTGCTTTCAGCTCTCATAAAATTAGACATATTCATACATATTCATTGTTATAAGACTAACTCTTTCTCTCTTCAGAGTACATTGCATAATACAGTACAGTGAAAGAGAGATTTCTCTTAGAGCTAGTAGATGTGTATGATCTTTTAGATGAGAACAGCAGAGAGATACTTAAATTGTTGTGTTGTAGTCATGTAGTACATAATAATTGATGTTAATGTCCACGAGGAATAGTTACCTTAAAAATACTTGGGAATTTGTAGCCCCTGGAAAACCAGAAGGATCCAGTGGATGAGCAGCACTGGCCAGAAACCCAGCCAGTGATCTGGCAGAGTGAAGAGAGAAGGAGAAGTAAACAGATCAGGAAAGAATATTTCAAGGTAATGGAGGGGTGTGTGAGTGGGGGGCACTTTAATATGAACCTATATCATTAAGGAAAGGTAAGAAAACCTCAAAGGTTTGTCATACTTTTAATTCTGTATGTAACCTGTGTTTTTTATTTGGCTCTTTGGAGTTAAATAACATATATTCTGTATTTAGGGTAATGCGAGAGTGCAGGAAAATCTTAGTGCTTTAAATAAATGAAAGTAATTTACAGTTTTCTTATGGTAAAGACAGAAACAAATCTTGAGTCATTGCTCCTTCCCCATCCAGTTGGAGGGGTTTTATGCTTATCTTTTATCGTAGCACAAGGGAAATGGATTTTGTGCAGTGTGGTTCTAAGAATGATTTGTGCCTTTGGCAGAATCTTCTCAGTGCATTAGATTGCACTTTAGAGAGGAAAGAAATTCTGTCTGTACTACTTTGCTGCTGTAGTGTGTTCCACTGGTCACCAGAGGTCAGCGCCTGCATGTGGCAAAACAGATCGGAGCTTACCAGCATCAGGTTAAATCTGGTTTGAGGCTTGGTGGAGAAAGGAGAATTATCTGCAGTGGGAAGTTGAGTTAAAATTAAACTTGTCTCTTAAGAAATTAGTTTCTTGGCTCTTTGCCATCAAACATCTTTATGAAATGCTAGGGACCTCAAAAGGAGTTGAGTTCTGGGTAGAACAGTGCATGCCATACACCTCAGAGATACTCTTGTCATTATAGAAACTGTTTATCTTCTTCCTGAAAAGTTGATGGACTTATGTCCTCTTTCCAGGAATTTGGTTGTTTGGGGCTTGTTTTTAATTTCTTTTCTGTAATTTTGCCTTCGAAAAAAGGGAAAAAATTCTAAGTGAGCAGAGTTCAGTCCTCTCTGCTCTGGGGACAGGCTGAGAGAGCTGAGCTGGTTCAGCCTGGAGAAGGCTCCTGGCACACCTTCCAGCTTCCAGTGCCTAATGGGGCTCCAGGAAAGCTGGAGAGGGGCTTGGGACAAGGGCCTGTAGGGACAGGCCAGGGGGAGTGGCTTTAACCTGCCAGACTGAGATGAGCTCTTAGGCAGAAGCTCTTCCCTGTGAGGGTGCTGAGGCGCTGGCACAGGGTGCCCAGAGAAGCTGTGGCTGCCCCATCCCTGGCAGTGTTCAAGGGCAGGTTGGACACAGGGGCTTGGAGCAAGCTGCTCTAGTGGAAGGTGTCCTTGCCCGTGGCTGGGGGTGGAGCTGGGTGAGTTTTAAGCTCCCTTCCAACACAGTATGTGTCGTACCTGGAGTTCACATTATAAAAGTATTTAGCTTGAAAATGCCTTTAGCTCATCAACATAAGTAAGATTTTGCCTCCCCTAGGAACTAGATGTTCCTGTTCTGTTTTGTTTCCTTTTAGCTCCTTTGATTCTGTAACATGTTTTTTGTTTTTTTCTCAGCAGCTTCACCAGTAATAAGTCACATCTGAGTGCTGTCAAGCCATTAGTTCAAATGAAAACCATAATTCCATTTTAAAGTAATAATTATGTGTGTTTTGCAGTATAAGTCTTCCAGAAAGAGTTCAAGTGGAAATGAAAATGATGAGGTGAGAAGCAGTAACTGCGTAAAACATTTAAGAAAATACTTTATTACTTTTGTCTTTTTCTGAACGCTTACAAGTCATAGACCAGGAGAATGTTGGCTGGAATCCATGCAAACAAACTGCATTCCAGAGCCAGAGCAGCAAAGAGTAATTAAACTCCTTCATTTAAAAAAGCTCATCAAGAAAAGTAGGACATTTACTTGCTTTGGTGATAGGGAAGTTAACTCACCTGTCAAGCAGAGGGGATGTGAAGGTAATGCTCGACACCCTGAACAATGTTTCCTTGACTTACATGTTCTTAGGCTCAGTTGCTGCCAATTTGTTGTATGCTTGACAAGTGTTGCATGTCTCACGTACTGTGTATTTCATAATTCCATGTTTCTTGTGAAATCATTATCTTCATTTTTATAATTTCATCTCTTTGATTTCTTTTTAGCAAGACAGTGATAATACTAATGTGTCCCCACAGTCTCCTGTGTCGTCTGAGGTACAAGTTTGTGGGTTTGTTTTTCATTCAACAAACATTTCTTTGTGTGCATTACTTGTCACCACACAGATGTAAAACTGTTTCCTTTGAAACTGCAATTGGAAATATTTCATCATCATAAAAAAAGTCAAAAATAGAAACTACAGACAGATGGTCCAACTTGGTTTATCTTTGCAGCTGTCTGGTCTCTCCTAGATGGCTTCTTTTTGACCAATGTGTGGAAAGGTGCATTGCTTTGTCTCCGTTATCTTTCCTAATGAAAACAGCTATTAAAGCAAAAATGGAACTGGCACACTGTGCAGGTATCCCCTATGCACTAGCCATCCAGGGGATTTAAAGTGAAACTTGTGAGTTAGTATGTTATATATCACAAGGAGCCCAAAAGTACTGAGTCTTTGGGAGTTTTGTCCCTGATGATTCTGGCTGTTGCCTTTGCGGTACAGCCTTGTGCCCTGGTTGCATCCCTTTTGAAGGGATGTCCATGGGGCTGCACCCACTGAGCTCTGACAAAGCACACCAAAGATTGTTCATGTTTCCACCTTATGTCAATAAGGAGCCTGAGGGGGCAGAATTGAGAACATCTCATCTGGAATGTGTGGAAACAATGAGATCTCCTGTGCATACCAAATCACTGAGTGCATATTTTGTTTTAGATGGTGAAATGAGAAAAACCTGATCTTCATAACTGAAAGTAAACATTTCCTAAGAAATATTTTGATACCAAGTGTTGGGAGGATACTTGCATTTGCTTTCAGCTGGCTTAAAACGCCGTTCACGGAATGGTTTGCAGTAGTTTGAAATGGGTTAGAGTAGATTTTAGTTAATCTGGTGCTGCTTTTCTTCCTCACTAAGGCAGCTTTATCTCCATGTAGCGAGCTTACTTTCATTCCTCTTTTATACTGTCCCCTTCAAAAGAGGGCATTGCCCTTAAGTAGAAGGACATTTTTCTTAGGCAAGAATAATTTAAACACTGTCTTGATGGAACAAGAGTTCTTTTAATGACTGGAAGAAAATTGACTTTATCTCTTTTAACAGGATTATGAAAGGACAGATAGTAACACTCATGGTCCATTTGGTCTCAAACCAAGGTCAGGTAAGCTGCAGTTCTCTACCACAGCATTATAAAAACAGTTGTTCATTTCCTGGGCTGACACAGGTGGTAAGGATGGTGGATGTGGGAGTGTGAATGACTGTGAGGAGATGCCCCAGTGCAGCAGTCTATTCTGTGTACTTACCATGAGCATGGTGCTGGCAAGGACAGAGGCAGCTGCTTGCAAACACACTGACTGTGCATACTTAGTCACTGCAAAGAGCAGGGCAACAGCTCATTCTTGAGACCTGATGGCTGAGCTGGGAGGGTTTCAAGAGAAGCAGATTTTTGTCTGTCCTATGAAAGGGTGCTTTGAGCAGAGCTTTTCCAGGAGTTTCATGGCTTAGTGCTTTGTTGCACACTGACTCTTCCAGGACTCTGACATGCCCTCGTAAGAGAGCTGTATTGTCTAAAGCAGACCTTCAGTCCCCTGAAATCTAGGTAGATAAAATACTTTTTTTTCAGTTACCATCTTCTTTTGTTTGCAAGTGTGTGTGAATACTGGAAGAGCCCCTGTGCAATCTTGTTTACTGTTAATACCACTCTTCCCTGTTTTTAAGGGAACAGTCTTCATGCAAATTCATTAAGGAAGAATTAGCTCAACTCCTCAGTTTAGTTTAATTCAGTGAAATAATCTCCTTACTAGGAGACTGTGAGCCCTCAGCAGCAGAGTATGCCTGGCTGAGGTGATGCAAAGGGCTTCTTCAAGACCCTTAAGTCCCTTGAGCTTTGTAAGCAGTTGTATGAAACTTCAGTGCCAGGGGTAGTCAGGGTAGTTGTATGTCCCAGGACATGCGTGGCTGGGATCTAGAGGCTTCTGAGTTATGTACAGAAGAGGTTTTATTTACTAATGTGCTATAAAATAATAGCTTTGTCATTTGAAGGCTTTCTGCCTATGAAGAATGTAAAGGGAATGTAATAATTTAACACACCTTTTTAAAGAACTCTTGGACTTCTAGATGAGACATTTTATATTTTCAGATAAATTCTTAAGAAGCAATCACTATATCTTTGCATCTGCACACTTACCATGTTGACTGCTACTGCTGAACCCAGGACACATGTATCTGTGTGTGTATATATATATATGTATATTTTAAATCTCTCAATGTAAGTTGTATTAGAGAACTCTGTCCCTTTTTTTAGTCTCCATAAAGAATTCAAACTTGATTAAAAGTCAAACACAATGAAAATACTTTCAAAGCTAATTTCAAGGTAAACTTGGAAAATGTGCAGATGGAGCTGTAGATCTCAAACAGGTATTTCAATGTTGAAGTCAGTTCTGTCTCCGTATTTTCCAGTTATCCATTTGCACTTAAAGATGATCTCTGTATTTTATTTGAAAGAGAAATTTCATAGACAGCACTTTTTGCATCAGGATACTTCAATATATTTGTTCCAAAAAGGCCTGCAGCTTTTCCCCATTTTTACACTTGGTGTGAGACTTTTGGTGATTAGTGTTTTAAATCTGACTTCTGAAAACTAACTTCACTAATGTTCGACAGCTTTCAGCCGTGCATCGCGCCAGGACTATGGAGCTGTGGATCCTGGATTCACAATGAGGAGGAAAATGGAACATTTAAGGGAAGAAAGGGAACAAATAAGACAGCTTCGCAATGTAAGTACCATTATTTACTGTATGGGTGCAGTGCATTTAGTTTAAGCTTTTATAATCACAACTTAAACCTTTATAACAAAGGCCTGCAAATCATTACAGCTGTACAAGGGCATCTTGGTAGTGATGCTTCTTAAGAAGTTTCATGTAACAGGCTACATTGGCACTGGTTTTGATTCCGTTAAAACACCAGCCAGGACCTGTATGTGTTGTAGCTGAAAAATGAAGTGAAATGAAAATCCTTAATTTTTAGGTTTCTGAGGTTTTAGGTTTTGCTAGGGAGAGAGATGACCAGGCTGCTTGTGTTTGCTGCTGTTTGACCTGAGATTTGAAAAAAGATGGTCATAGTCATAGCAAAATGCTTTTTGAGTGTAGAAAGTTGCTGCAAGTTATACAGTACTGAATGGGATCTAAATTTCAGACTTCCAGTAAGTTGTTTTCTGTCTATTTCTGTTCTCAAGATATGGAACAGTTATAGCTAACTATAAATCAGTTAAGCTCTGCTTTCCAAGGCAGGAGGAATTTGGGGTGTGACTTTGCTGAAGGCTGTTTGTCGTGTCTGGTTCACTTCCTGAGCAGTCGAGGCTTGTTGCTGCGGTGGGAAAAATCAGTTCCCACTTCTGTTTTGCAACACAAGTGTGGGCACTTCTTGGCCACCCTTTTCTCAGCTGTTTCACTGTCACCTGCACGAGAGAAGTACCCGTACTCAAAGTGGTTGTGTTCCTCTATTTTATTCTTTTTCTCCTAATAAAGCTGTGTGTGATTTCACCCCAAAGATTATGCACACTAACAGTCAGTGAGGTGTTCAGCCTGACATTTCTGTCCTTAAATTCTGTGCTTCCCTATTCTGAGTAGTGAGTTCATGGAATGGCTTTGAGAGCTGTGTATCACGGTAGTTGTTGCCTCAATGTCTTTCTCAATGTATGTGGCTGTGTCATTTAAAAAAAACAACAAACCAAGCAAGCAAGCAAAGGGAATATGAGATTTATGCTAAAGAGGAAAGGATATTTGTATGAAATGCGAATTATCTGCATTTACTTCACTTTAGTATTAAAATATCCCTTTGAAACAGAATGCTTTAAAATCAAAAGTTACTTTCAACATTAAGCTAACTTATTTATGGACTTTTTAATAGAATCTTGAATCCAGGTTAAAAGTAATTTTGCCAGATGACATTGGAGCAGCGTTGATGGATGGAGTAGTTCTTTGCCATTTAGCCAATCACATAAGGCCACGTTCTGTTGCCAGCATCCACGTACCATCGCCAGCAGTGGTAAGTGGTTTATCTCACTTCTGCTGCATCCTAACTGAAAACAAGCTTTTGAAGTTCAATACTAAAGCGTCATGAATCATGTTGACCATGTTAACTGGCTGCATTCCTCACTTCAATTTTTCTGCAGGAAGCACTAAACAGAGGCTCAGAAGTTTTCTTTAAGAGCTCATTTCACAAACTGGGTCTTCACAGAACTTGTGTTTTAGCAATTGTAACTGTATTTGCATCGGAAATGACTGATGATCTACTGTCCTGTCTTTACAGCCTAAGCTCAGTATGGCAAAATGCCGAAGAAACGTTGAGAACTTTCTTGATGCTTGTAAAAAGCTGGGCGTATCACAGGTATGCTGTTTGCTTTATTGACTTACTAATGACCACAAGTATGTCAGCCAATACTGAAGTTTGAAGGGTTTGAATGGCTTAATTCAGTTAGCAATAGTGACTATAAAACTGACCAGAATTTGAAGGTATGAAAGCAAGTCCCATTTCTAACCTGTGGCATGAACTTGAGGAAACTACTTGATGGGTTTCTAGTTTGTTCCTTATAGTAAAAATGATACTGACCTCCTTATAAATTATCTGAACAGAGGAACCAATGAGAGAGGGTAATGTTGTAATATTTGAAAGCCTTGAGTTTAGCAACTCACTTTGTGAATTTCTGTCTGCCTAGAAGAATCCTGCAATTACAGAACTGCTTAGCTGTCGTCCTCAGCAGAGCTGTAGTTGCAGCCCATTATTCATGCTTCTGTTGCCCAAGTTTATCCTTTTCCTGTATGGGGGGTGGAGGGGGAAACCCCTCAAGTTCAAACCATTTCCTGCATATTGGGAGAGGCAAAAAAACTGTTGACTTGTTTTAGTGGAACAGAAAAATTTGTTAATGGATTGAGAAGCCTGGGATACTGCTCTGCCCCAGCTTCTGTCTAGTGTGGAGCCACAGGCAATTCAAAAGACAGAGATGCTAAGATTTACCTCATGAATCATAATAACAGCGGCTAGCACTTGGAAAAGTTGTCCAGTTTGCCATCTTTCAGTTTGAAATTCCAGCACTTGATTGGTGAATGGCTAATAATCCAGTCTGTCAACACTTCCAAGTTTTCCCAAGGGAAAAATTGGTAATAAGCTTATAAAACAACGTGAGGGGGAAGAACGGCACTGAGCCAGTAGTGTCCATCAAGTGTTAGTCTGGCTCTGCTTACAAAAACAGTCTTTGGCTTTATGAAATTAGCAGTCTTGTGTCTCTTCTCAATGTTGTCATAGTTTAATACTTTAAACAGATCTTGGATAGAATTAATAAATCTGTAGCCATTCTGTTACGGTAAAGAACCACATCTGAAATTTAAGGCCAGAGACACTTTCTGTGTAAGTGTCTCAATGGTGTATGTGTGACTTCAGGGAACCTGCCTTGGAGAAAAAAAGAATGAAGCTTGATACACGTACTGCTTTGTTTTACAGGAGAGACTTTGCTTGCCTCATCACATCCTGGAGGAAAGGGGTCTGGTAAAGGTTGGCCTCACAGTTCAAGCTCTGCTTGAATTGCCTGCGTTGAAAGTTCCTCAGCTTTCCTCCATGTGACACAACTCCTTGGGAGCCAGACAACGTTCCATCCAGTCTGCCTGCTTGGATCCCTCTGAGGCAGTTCAGCTTCCTACACAGGAACACTCAAGCCATCAAAAACTACTGTCCATCCAGATGCTGTAGAGAGCCTTACTTTGGAGTTGTAGGTGACAACCTTGGAGTCAGCTGGCAGTTAAAAGACCATAATTATTCTTCTTTACTTTTGTAATTGGATGCACAAAGAGATGTGGTAGCATCCGGTTCTCTTCCTGGTTAATTTAAGTTAAAAGCTGCCATTTAACACCTCACAGTGTTACAGTTAAATGCTGGATTTCTTTTTCTCTCATTGAAAATGTTGTTTGAATTCTTTTACAAGTACAAAGCACACCCCCTTCACTTTAATCTTGCAAGGCAACCGTTTGATTTCAAGGTAAGACAAAAAATGTAGCACTGGTGTGATGGCAGAAATGCGAGCGGCTGATCACTTGTAACCCACTTCCACTCCCTCAGAAAGCTTCATCTTTGTGTTCCTTATTTTTTGCACTCCTCATTGTAACTTAGACACTTCTAACATTGCCAGTATTTAGTCTAAGTGTCTGGTGATTACACAAAGCAGTATCCAATGGGAAAAGGACACATTTTATTGAGTTTATTCCAGTCTTCTAGGTTGGTGCCAAATACTTTTTTTCAGTTGTACTGTAGATTGTTTACATGTGAAGTGCCTGTGTAATTGAGAACTCGGAATAGTCGGAAACATTTTTGCAATTTCTTTGTTTAAAATAGATGAAATGGAAATTTTTAAATATTTTACTAGGTTTTTGTAAAATCAGTACGTGAAGATTTAAGTAATGCTTCACACTTTTGATGTTGGGTGTTTTTAAGTTTGTTGCACAATTGAATTGGTTATTTTGTTGTCTAATAATTAGAAGATACTGTAAATACTTTTTATTTATGATATTTAATTTGATAATACCTGATCACTTTTGGGTTAATGTATTGTTGGACAAGAACAAGTTGTCTACTTTACTTTAGGACACACAGACGCACGCGGTGAGTAAGAGGTGAGGACTTGTGATGCACACTGAGTAACTTAGGACATTTTGATAAAACTGCCAAAATCTCAGGTTCCTGCTGTGACTTTCAGGATTTTGTGTAATGTTGCTCCTGAGCTTGTGTTACATTTTTACAGCAGATTTATCCATAGTTTAGTTGGGAAATATCAGTGTTTCTCTTTTTAGTGTTTACAGGATTTATTATGTAACTTACACAAGTGTGGCCTAGCACACGGATCGGTTGGTACAGATGTCACTGTGCTGAAACATTAGACCAGTAGACTTTTCTGGATAAATGGGGAAAAGAACACATTCCACTGTGGTGGGTTTTTGAGGCTTCTCTAAGTGTATCTATTTGTTTGCTTCTGCACCAGGTCTCAGTGTTTTGAGCCCATCCTGAAACCATGCACAGTTGAGTTGTTCTCCAAAAGAGTTGCTCATAATTTAGTAATAAATCTGTGTGCGTTAGGCTGTTCTTCATGAATAGGTAGCTCCACTGAAAACTGCCACAGAGTTTCTGTTTCAGGCTAAGCTCATTTTGATGGAGGGATACATTTGCCAAGCAGGTAACAAGATTTGATTCTGTTCTTTCCAATTAATCCAGGCCCCATCTATTATAATTCATAAAGGAACGAAGGAGATGTATTGTTTACTCTTCACTTATTTACAGTCCTTAAAATCAGTAATTGAGAGGAAAAAATAACCTTCTGCTGACGAGATTTTGTTTACAAGATAGATTCTTTTTAAACCCCTTGAAACAAGCTGATAGATGTGTAATAGTTAAAACCCACTGTTGTTTAGATGGTTTCTTACAGTGCGGCTCCTGGAGAGGCTGGTGTAAAACAACAAACCCCTCAAAAGAAATCGTAGGTTACAGGAATACTTGTTTAAGGAAACTGGATTGCTTTGACCTTTGAAATGTGGGATTTCAAACCTCTTTAATTGGTTTGTAAATCATAGACGTTAGCCTCATTTTAACACCTTCAGTCCCTGTTCCTCGCTAAAGGCACTTACCTGGAAAGTCACACTGAGACTCGAATAAGTAATATAATTCATTAAGCCAAATGCTTGTCTGCTGCTTTTGAAGAACACAGCCATTCAAAAGAATAAGTCACTGTCTTTCAGTTCCTTGCTGTGGTATTGACAACAGCCACCACGTTCTCTTTCAGTACATTAGCCATAGAATGGCTAACTATAAATGGTCACTTTCAGTTAACCTGCCTTAAACTGATCTATTTCTTTGTATATTTTAATGTTTTTTTGATCTTAAAGTAACTTTTTTTTTTCCCTGCTCAAACTAAATTGATAAAGTTCCATCTCAGTGTAAACATTAAGAATCCCCTTGATGTCATGTGCCAGATGCTGACCAGTTTGGTCTTGGGTTGTGGGGTTTTTTAAGCTTGGCTTATTTCCTAGGTAACTTGAAAACTGGATGTGAAATTAATGGATTTACTTTGAATTGTACCTCTGAAGCTGAAAACTACTAAACTTTTTCTTCAGTACTCTGGGGTTCTTCCCACAAATTAGTGGCAGTCTCACTTTGCCATTCCATGGAAATTAGGATGGCCTTCTTCATGCTTACAGGGAAGGATAATCATGATTCTTCCAAGGCTTCCTTTTTAGCATGACAAAGATGAAGGCCTTCAAGTATCTTTCAGAGCAATGTTGAGAAAAGGTCCACTGTGCCTGGACAAGTCTTTTCTCTGCTTCCTTTAGCTACTGTTACAATTAATAGTCTAAAGCCTTGCAGAAATTGGCTGTTCCCATTGTGATTTTTAGGAGCAACTGTGAAAAAAGATGCTTAAGTTTTGTAATACAAGTTTGTTGGTGTCTTTCCTGTACAAGAATTTGCCCTTTTCTCCCTTTCCATTTGATTCCCAGCATCTTCTCAGTTCCTTTTGTTTGTTCACAGATCTAGTGACTTCACATTGGTCATTAAAACATGCTCCTCCTTTCTCTTGACTCTAAGAAACTTCTCCAGTGTCATTGGTGAGCTACTGTGATTCCAGAATCCCTGCTCCAAACAGTTAGTATGTTTGAGATATCCTTTTCCCATTCTGTTTGGGATGCAGTGGCATTAATGAATACTTGGTACAGCTGATGGGATGGTTAAGAAGAGAGGCCTGCCCCCCTTCCTTTTGTAGTTACTCAGTTTTTACTTGGGATGTAAAGAGAAGTCACGATGAAAAACTTCAGGAAGCTGCATTAAGTTTTCCTAATAAACTTAAGAGGTAACTAGGGTGCTTTCTTATTGTGAATGCTGTACAAAGTTGCTGCAGTTGTGTGGTCTGAACTATAAATTACAGAGTGAATCAACATACTGACAGGGCCCCTGGCCTTGTGTATGTGTTCTGTTTCTCTGTGTCACTAGATGCAGTATGTGTCACACATGAAAGATCTTTCATTTAAGCAATAATGCCCCAGATATTGTGAGGTCTTAAAGTAGTGACATTAAACTAACCATGATAAAGTGTGGTTGCCTCTCACACAGTGTCTCAGAAGTGCTTCACATCTGCAACGCTGCTAATGCAGTATGTGAGCTGGGGCACTGCTGGCGATGCAGAAAGCCGTCTACGCCTAGAGGTCTTCCAAAAAGGAACTAAAATGATCATAAAATATGGAGGAAACAGTTGAAACAATAAGTACATGAATCGTAAGAATGTCTGGGTAAAATCCGAGCTTCACAGCAGCCAAGGCATGTTCTGCTCTTACCTTCAGTAAAGCAGGAGGAAAGAGGAAGGGTTGCGAAGATGGCCTTGAGTAAAGAACGCTTTCAGTAAAGGAGTCCAGGGGAGGCCATGAGGATGGTCAGGGGCTGGAGCTTCTTCCCTAGGAAGGCTGAGAAAATTGAGGCTGTTGAGCCTCAAGAGCAGAAGCTGTGTGGAGAACTCAGAGCAGCCCCCAGTGTCTGAAGGGGGCTACAAGGATGCCGGAGAGGGACTCTTCATCAGGGACTGCAGTGATAGGACAAGAGGTGATGGGCTCAAACTGAAACAGGGGAAGCTCAGGTTGGATGTAAGGAAGAAGCTCTTTACTGGAGCAGGCTGCCCAGGAAAGTTGTGAATGCCCCATCCCTGGCAGTGTTCAAGGCCAGGCTGGATGGGGCTTGGAGCAAGCTGCTTTAGTGGAAGGTGTCCATGCCTATGTCAGGGGGCTGGAACTGGATGAGCTTTAAGGTCCTTTCCAACCCAAACCAGTCTAAGAGTCTAAGATTCCACCTTTCTGGCTTACAGATCACTTGAGCTGCAGGTCATAGCAAACATGGCTCAAATTTGTCTGACACTGCAAAGCTTTAGTGTCAAATTCTTGGCTAAAAGTAGTGATCTCTGGTAAGTCAAAGGAATCTGTAAAATATTACACAAATTCATTTATTTAATACAGGTTTTCTGATGTGCCATATACATATTAAGACAGTAGGAAAAATTCCTTTGAAGCACAGCTTTCTTACTATGGGAGGGTGTCCCCACAGTAACACTGCAGATGGGGATTGCCATCAGTTTTGTACTGCACCTCAAACTTTAGTTCAGGTATCACTTGGTGGCTGTCTTAGATTTGGACATAAATCTGTAGCCAAATTCAAACAGAAAATAAAAAGGCATCTGTTCACTAAAGCAAATGTTCATTTGCCTTCTCAGATGGAAGGACAAAGGTCTGGCACTTGTCTTCCTGCTGCTTCCTAAGTGCTTGTACAAGGGTAGCTGTTGCACCTAATCGAGCTGCAGTCTGTCTGTGCACCAAAGCTTGTTACTAATTCAGGTGATTCCAACTCAAAGCAACTTTGGGAGTTTCTGGCACTTCTGCAGATAGATGACTTTGTATTGGTAAATCACACCTTTCTTTTTCCTCCTGCAGTCAGGCTAGTGTGTGTGTTTCTTTCAAGAGGTAAGTCACGTTAAACAGTGACGTCTACTTGGAAACCAAAAACACCCAAAACCCCCAAAACCCACAGCCACAGAACTAGTTAAAAGAAGACAGTAAGGCCAAGAACAGGAAAAGCAAATTACAGTTGTCTAAGGAGAGGGTGCTCTGACCTGGTGTCACATTGAATCACTTCTGACTGAAAAGCCTTTAGATTAAGTAGAGAAAATGGATGTTTTGTGGCTGCTTCATGCTGAGGGAGACAGATCCCTGAGTGCACCTTGCTGTAGAGGTTACAGGAGCAGCTCTGCTCTGGAGCCAGGCTGAGAGAGCTGGGCTGGGGCAGCCTGGAGAAGAGAAGGCTCCTGAAGGGGAGACCTGAGAGCAGCTCCAGTGCCTGAAGGGGCTGCAGGAAACCTGGAGAGGGGCTTGGGACAAGGGATGGAGGGACAGGCCAAGGGGAATGGCTTTAACCTGCCCGAGGGGAGACTGAGATGAGCTCTTAGGCAGAAGCTCTTCCCTGTGAGGGTGCTGAGGCGCTGGCACAGGGTGCCCAGAGAAGCTGTGGCTGCCCCATCCCTGGCGGTGTTCAAGGGCAGGTTGGACACAGGGGCTTGGAGCAAGCTGCTCTAGTGGAAGGGGTCCCTGCCTGTGGCAGGGGTTGGAGCTGGAGGAGCTTTAAGGTCCCTCCAACCCAAACCAGGCTGGGACTGTATGATTATAAAAGTGAAATAACCAGTCAGTTTTAGTTCAGATGTTCCATAGCCACGTACGTTTTCAAAGAAGAATGTTTAATCTGCTTTTTCCATACACATTTTCAAACCCTAATCTTCAAATAACCAGCACCAAATCTCTTTCCAAGACTATTTTAATGTCTTGGTAAAAATGAAGTGAGAAGGCTAGCTCAAACCGACAGCAAACGGGATTGTTTTGGGAAGCTTTCTGTTTTGGCAGCGTTAGGTTTCCAGTTGGACTCACTGCTCTTAAAGGTCTTTTTCAACCAAAATGATTCTGTGACTTCAGCAAGACCAGAATTTCCCTCCATAGTTCTGGAACTGAGCTACCCCATGAAGTCAGTCACTGGAACTGAATTCTTGGCACTGATGAGGGTTTCCTCCCTTCATCCAAATTTGCATGAAATAAGGTAAAGACAACATTTCTTTTCATGACAGTTTTATGAAGGCAGATTGGGAAATAGAGAATACCTGGAAATAAGCACAAGGATCCTTTGTTAGCAGGAGTGAAGCAGTGCAATCTCCCCAGGGTTGCTCTGGTTGGGTGGGATCTGGTCATGAAAGTGCAGATGTTCATGCAGCTGTTTCCTGAAGGGGTGCCTCACGCTAAGCACTGCTGCAGTGGTGGGAATCCCTGCCTCTTGCACCAGCAGGTAATGGGGGCCTGTGATCCCTGGGGGGGCTGTAGAAGGGTTGTTTGTGGATCACGTTGGGAGTAACACGAGTACTTCTACTCTTGTGTAACCTCTACAACAAGGAAATCGTGGCCAGTGGTGTTCGGGTGTTTTGTTTTGTAACTCATGGTTATAAAACTCAGAAGATGCACCATAAGCCAGGGAGGGAGGTGTAAATGTGTGCAGGGCAGGAGCAGTTCTGAGGTACTGGGGGCGTTCATGGAGAAACAGATGCTGACATTGTGTATATACTTGATGGAGTGTTTTAATTCATCTTGCATCTCATGTTCTTGTAAAGTGCATCTTCCTCCCACGCTTCCAAGACTGTCAACTTGTACAGTACTGTATGGAGTCTGTTTTCAGGATTTCCATCCTTGCTGGAGCTTCCAACATAGACGTTTCTTTGGAAAACTGTTCCTACTGTTCCTTTTTGTAAATAGGTTTTTGTATTCAACTTGCATGGATAAACCCCATTTCCAAACCAGTGTACATACGCTGTGTATAAAATACAGACTGTTTCATAACTTTCATGTAGTCAAGTTATTCAATATGATTTCAGGTTTTCTATATTCCTAGTAAATGATGATGATTTGTTGTATGTTCTCTCAAGTGTCTGTGTTGCCATTTTGATAGATGGGTGACCTGCATCAGTCAGGCTGGACGTGAGGAAGAGACTTTAGAGCGAGGGTGGTAAAATCCTGGCACAGGTTGTCCAGAGAGGTGGTGGATGCCCCATCCCTGGAGACATTGCAGACCAGGCTGGATGTGGTTCTGAGCAACCTGGTCTGGTTGAACATGTCCCTGCCCATTGCAGGGGTTGGACCAAATGGGCTTTGAAGGTCCCTTCCCACCCAAACCATTCTGTGATTCTATCTCTTGTGTAGTGATAAACAGAAGAAACATTGACTCTTATTCCAGGGCAGTAGGATGCTGACAGATGGGGTAGGTTAGGACTTTGGTTGTGACCAACAGGGACAACAGGTCTGAGAATACCTTGAGATAAGGCACTGTCCCTTGTAGCAGGGTCTTTACATGTTTAAACACTCTCCTGTCTTACACAGCATGAGGATTACCCAGTGTCTTATAGTGCATACATTTGGAACAGCATCGTTTGAATCATGCTCACAATTGGCTTCATCAGGTCAGGAAACTCCAGCTGGCAGAAGAGCTCCTGAGGTTGGATCTGCTCACAGCACAGGTCAGCTTCTGTGTGGTTCACAGCAACCGCTATATCCGACATGAGGGACAGAAGGGCCGGGTTCTGGAGCTGTGGTTGAAGGTTGTTCATCTCTTCTGGGGTCTGTCAGGTACCTGTGAGCTCTGTTCTCAGCTGTGGCACCCTTCCAGCCTCTCCAGTGTGCTGCTTGCACTCCAGTTGCGCATCGTGTGCCTGCGGCTGCTGGTTTACATGGGTTAAGTCATTGCCATGGCTGTAGCCTTTTAATGTCCTCTCTGGTTGCAGTCCAGAGATGGATGCAGGTGCAGAGCCCTGGCTCAGCATCGCTGTTCCCAGGCTCTTTGTTCTGGAGACTGAGGAGAGTTTAGGAAACTAAAAGAAGTCCAACTCCTCCCTGGTTCCTCAGGGCTCTGCTGTCCCGGGGTCTGTGTTCAAACCCATTGATCAGCTACAGCCACCACTCCAACGCTGTTCGAACCCCTCCGAGGGTGAAAATTTGCCATTTAATGTTGCAGTGACCTCAAAATGTCTGTGTCATTGGTGGTGGTTTAATTAGCTCGGCTTCATTAATAATGGAAATCTTATGCTGCTCATTATCCTGATTATAGAGGCCAAGAGGAGACTGTAACACACCCGCCTGGTTGCCACAGCTCTAGCGCTGCCCTCGGGACTGAGCGATGCACAGCTGGGCACCAGCAGGGCCAGAAGGATTAGAGCTTGGTGACTCCTCTGACACAGACGGTGCCAGCAGCAGGTCTGACTTCCCATCATCTTGACGTGGTTTTCACTATGGCAGGGGAACAGACCCACCAGACTGTGTGTGAGCGGCTCGGGGGTGCGGGTTTAGCTAACACTTCAACGTGACCAGCTTCCCGGGATACTTGTAGTTTTCAGCAACTCCAT